TAAGGTGAAAACAGAAAGAATTAGGGAAATTACAGCCAACAAAAAAAATGTCATTGAAACGAAACTTTTGTTAACTTTATTCAAAACTATTTATCTTAAACAATTTCTCAATAAGACGAGTATTAAATTAATACTATGAACCGTAGACTAAAGTTTAAGACTCTTCGGTATTAAAATGAATCTAAAAAAATATATAACTTAGTTTATTTTAACCAAGTCCAACGATTTCTAATCTACTTATATAGCCACATTGAGTATTTACTCTGCCGCATGAATTGATAATTATTGTAATAATATTAAATTGTCAAAATCTTTACCGAGTCTCAGACTTTCCATATGTGAGTTGTCGACCAAAAGATTTTAAGGAAAGCTCTACGCCGCAGGCTAATCAGCCTGATTGCATTTAATACTGATATTTTCTGGCAAGGAACCAAGTTTGCCTTGCCGCATCAGAAGCGCAGACCAAGTCGAATTCAATTACCATCCGTTGAGATTTCAATTTGTGTGTGGTGGCTGTCTGCGATTCTCACTGTACCTGCTTGGAAAGAAGACCTGCCTGTCTGTATGTCTGTCTGTAAGTCTGTTGGCAGCAAATCCATCCATTCCCCACCGTTTTTGCCAAGATGCTGGCTGGTCTGTGTTTCTTAGACTGGTAATTCTAGTCGCCTTGGCAACTTCGCGCTGCTGGCGGATGTGCAAATATTTTGATTAAATTTTCTCCATGGCAACTTTCTTTCCACGAAGCGAGGCTGCAACTGCAGCGGCAACCTCATCATCATCAGCAGTTGGAAAGAGCAGTGGCAGTGGCAACGGCACCGGCAGTGGCATCCATCTCCCAGTTTTCTGGCTCTGATGTTCTCAGTGCGTGTATTTCCAGAGTTTTCTTCTAATTTTCCCCCCACTGATTTTCAAACACGTTCTGCCATCGGATCCCCAGTCCTCAAACTTGACTTACGGATGGACATAATTCCCAAAAATTATGGTGCAAAGTTCGGGCTAAAGTCCGACCTGCTATAACACAACGCAACTTCATTTCTATGCACTCGAGAACCCAGAACTCATTAGAAACTAAAAAGTTTTAATTTGCCACCGAATGCAAATGAATATTTAACGGGGGGTGCAATGAGAATGGAAGTTCGTTGTGGCTGCGTTTTAATAACTGTGGATTAAGTCTGCATAAATAATAATCATTATAAACTGTGTGAACCGCAGACAGCGTGGAAATGCGCAGCCCGGAAAATTCCTTCTTCCAGCCACGAAAAGTTTCCTGCATAAGAAAATGACAAATGATCGCCGAGCAAAAGTATTCAAAAAGTAGCTAGCAGTAGCGGCAAAAAAGAAGGAAAGCTGAAACCGCGACAATAAACTTTTCTTCCCCTTTTTTCAGCTTTTCTCTGCTTTATTCTGTTCCAAGGAAAATGCGAAAAATTCTTGGACTTTGTTATGCGTAATTTGAGGTTTCTTATACACCGACCGATTCCCCTTGGCTTTTTCCGCAGGCGTGCCTTTAATTTGCAGTTAAGTGTTCGACGAATTATCTTGGCAATTATTTTTTGAAAGCTCTGATTAATGCAGAGCATAGATAAGGCGATCCGAACTAAAAGCAATTTGCGAGTCAACTATTCTCCTTTCTTTTTCCTTAGCACCCGAGCTACCTGCCTATGGAATTTAATTGTATCTTATCTGGGGAGCAGAACAAGAGCGAGCCTGAACTAGACTCATCAGGGAAGGCACAAATTGCCCGACTCGCTTATCAGTCAATTAGCCAGGCGATAAGACGCAACACGAAGCGAAAAATTAGGTAAGACAGGTGAAGAAGGTGAAGACAAGTAGCCTCCAGGGAAAATAAAAGTGGGGAGTAGTCTGCCAGTCATTGAAACACTTACCAGGTCCACGCTTATTTCCTCTCCGTTTCTGTAATTTCCCTTATCGCAGGAACAATAAAAGTTTCCATCCATTATCAAACCGGAAATGGAATATTTTGGGCTCCAAATAAAACGCAAATCATCAGGCCAACAACCAACATAAATAAATAAAAAAGCCTTAAAGTTTTTAAAGAAACATTTTAACATTTTTAGTTCAGTCATTTTTATTTCCTCCTGGTTTCAAGAAGAAGTGATAAAAATTATTTGTTTGGCGCAGACGGAAGTTTTGCATAGTTTGTTCATTACATTTTTAGGGAAACAGAGACTAAAGGGACACAATAATCTGCAGATAAAATCCCATCAGTCCCCATACAACACAGTTTTATACAGATATTTTAGCAGTGAAGCACCAATATTGGCTATTTTCATTAGCTGCACAAAACCCTAAAACCCACTCACATTCTCACTGGGAAATCCAAATAAATGCCAACATTAAATACCCATTTCGAGCCGAACATGTTTTCCAAACGGCAGGCATAAAATATTATGATATCTATGGCCAAAATAACTGCATCCCAAGCCCCAAACCAAACATTACGCATACGTCGCGTGAACCGTTGCCAAACCAACGGCGCAGCAACAGAAGAGCATTTTAATTAATTCACAAATTTAAACGAGCGACCTGCCTTTAATCTATCAAAGAAGCCATCAATTATAGGCGGCTGTCGGGAATTTTATTATAAAGTCAGTGGTTCGATTAACGATAGGGAATTCCGAGTGACTGAAACAGACGCCGACTTGCATCTGATAAATACTCCATTTAGTTGGTCGAAAATAGACGAAAACTGACGGCAGAAATCCGGCAATTAGCGTGTTGTTGGCGAGTATTTTTGGATGGTTCCGAAATAATAATTGAGATTGTCAACATTTGGTTTTGACAACCCCCTCGCCGTCGCCCTCGACCTGCCTGCCAACTTTAATCGCTCTATTTTGCCAGGGCAAACTCACTGTGTGTGTGTGTGTGTGTTGCTGTTTTACAGCTGACTGAGGACATGACATGCTGGTTACGACCCCTTTGGCACCTCACCCTCGCATCGCCCTCGCATGGCCCTCGCACCCACCCGAAGTCTTTCTCTTTTGTTTTCAATTTATAAGCGCATACAACGGAAACTGCCAACAGGGCATGGGGAAAATCATAGAGGGTCGCGGGCTGGATGGCACTTGAACCCAACGAGCCATAACAAAAGGCACACGAAGTAATTAACTTGTATTTATTGTATGCACACATAGTTGCCATGGTTAGTTTGCCGTGGTGAGAGGGCGATGTGGGGATGCTGCCCTCTAATTGATAAGCTCAGAGTTGGATTGGCCCTTAGATCCACGGGTTCTTTCCCTGGGATTTCTGTTCTGGCCAGCATAGCCAGCATAGCAAGCATGTGCAGTCAATTACTTTGGGCCAGAACTGCAATCTGTGGCCGGCGGTCGGAAAGCCCTCAATGAGTGCCGATCACTGAGGCGCCCCGTCTAATGTTTATTACTTTTCATCTTCTTTTTATACACATTTGCCTCAATAGACGCTGCAATCCAGGCTTTGTTTTTTGCAACTAAGCTACACTTGACAAAATGTGGGACAGGTGCAAGCACAAGTTTCTTAAAATTTAAAATTTTAAAATACAACAATTTTGGTCTAGTTACAAACGAAATATAAATTTCTTAACTTAGCTAAGTAGAAACTCGTTATATATTTCCTATTTTTCAATTTAAAAGAACTAAAAAAACTCTGGTGCTTGTGCGTGTTTTGCTTGTCAACTTTGCCAGAAGTAGTTGAAGTAGGGTCAGGCAACTAATCCTGGGGCTAATTCAATTTAAACCAGTATCAAACGCAAACTTGAACATTTGCCATACACATAACCCACTGCGGCGGCAGTCGCTAATTGGATTAGCATCGAAGGGTATTCAACTGCGGTTGCCAGGCGAGGAACCACAATTTCTTGTTTTCTGTTATCCGTTTCTGTTGCTGCTGCTTCTCGGTGGATGCACTGCACCAACCTGACACGCAACTTCACTCTCTGTGGGGCAACCGCTTGAGCTTCTCACCCTATCAATCTTAACCATGCACTGGAATAACATACATGAGTAGGTTTATACCCCTGAATTATAACTTGTGTTATAAAAAGGAAATATGTATATCTATAAAAAAACACTAAAATTATACTAAAGAATTTGGTTAACAAATTTGAAGCAGATAAATACGGTTTCTATTATAGTTTTCCTGTAAAAGTATTGTCTTATAAATTATTCAATTTCAATTAAAAATACTTTTTTAACGTTACTTGTAAAATGTACTTACACGCTCATAATTAAATTTGTTGTATTAATGGGTAATCTACCTAATTAAAGTATTGTAATAATGCTGAAAGGTGCTGTTAATAACTCTTAACATAAAAAGTTGTTGTTATTAAAGTTTCCCTGTTAAAATATCGTCTTAAAACTAGTGTATATCCAATTAAAAATGATTTTTAAATGTTTAATTCAAATGTTTTCTGTAACTATCCCAGAATTGGATTGTAAACGCCCTGAATAATACCACATTCAAGGGCCATTCTTACAGCATGTTGCACATGTTGGTCTGCCTTGGACATGGACTCCATTTCTCCGTAAGTCCACCTCTGTCCCGTTCTGTTTCGTTGGCTTGGGGGCTCAAGTGGCGTGTCCATGTCATTTACCTGGCAGCCACTCAAGTGGCAAGAGCAAAGGTGGTGCGCAGGGCTGAGGGGGTACTGCGGATCGGTATAAAGTTCTGATGCGGTTTTTGCTGCAATTATACATATAATATTGACATTAGTTGCATGTTGGCTGTCGTTTTATGTTTGTGACGAGGCCGGAGACTGAAGGTTTCGAGATTCGAGCATCGAGCATCGAGCTTAATTGCAAAATGCAGCAGCAGCAGCAGCGTCGAAAGATGAAGATAAAGATGCGGCATCATCAGCACAATTTCAAAATCAATATTATCATTAATGACTCAATTACTTGGTTTGCGTTTCAGTTTAATGACATATAAATTAATTGCCCTTTGGGGTATGGGAATAATTGAATTCAGTAACCTTAAAGTATTTTTGCATTTTTCATTCACAGACTCTGCCCAACGATCCTTCCGTTTTTAAAGTTCTTCGCTCACACATATCCAGACGCTTCAGACTGATGGACTGCACATACTGCTATTAAATCATAGACGATATCTTCCAAGAGGACAACGCATATCAGAAAGAGAGAACAAGGAGAAAAAATACGATTGGAAAACGAGAAAAACATATCCTGCATCATAAATCATTGCCAGGCTTTGATTAATGTTGCGTATACGCAATGTTGTCGGCCCCCGAGTTGGCCTCTAACTAAGTGAAAGCTCAAATCGGTCCAAGCGAGTGAGATAGAACACTTCCATTAGCACCTTCTGGGACATAACAACAACGTAATCTTCATCATCATCATCGCTAACGGTTGAAACCACAAATCCAGAAACCAAAGATGGCCTTCATCTGGCGACGACGTTCCACAACGATTGTGAAGCTGGTGGCCTTCCTGCTGGCCATTTGGTTCTGCATAGCATTTCTGGTCTACACGGACGACACGCGGCGAAGAGCCTCCCAGGATGGGGGCGGTGGTGGGAGTGGCGTAGGCAGTGCCCTGGGAGGGGGCGGGTCTGGAGGACTAGGTGATCCCGTTGCAATGGCGCTGAGGAACGAACCCGTCGTCGAGGACTTTGGCATCAATGGGAATGTAATCGGCGGAGGAGGAGGTGGAGGTGGTGGAGGAGGAGGAGGAGGAGGAGGCGGTGGTGGTCAGAAGCAGGTGCACGATGAGGCTGATATCCCACCCACCGTGGGCAAGCACAAGATCGACCTCCAGGCGGAAAGGCTGCGAAAGAAGGCGGCTGAGCAACCGAAGAAAAAGCCGCAAGATGGTGAGTTTTATTTGCATATTAACAGCATTTATTGGTTAATTGAGGAGTATTTATTAGTTTATTGGGACTTTATTAGTTCATTGGGGAGTAATACAAATCTATAGAAGAATTTGAAAATATTTAACTAGAAACTAAGAGTACCTAATTAAGTTTATCTAATTTTATACAATAAATGAGGGGAAGTTTTAGTTATTTATAAGCAGAGTATTCAAAATTAAGTTTAAAGTCAATTTTATTCAACTTAATATTCAACAACCCGAAAACAACAACATGCAGCACTTAACAACTTAAATTTGCTACCAGAATATTATATTTAAACTCAATTTAATGCAACTTAAAATTCTCAATAGTATCAAAACAAATTTCTTCCAATCAATTCATTTTCCAGTTTCACAAAATTGCTAAACTTAATTTCACGTAATATTCTCAACATTATTCCAAAAATTACATTGCCCAGTGACACAAAAGGACCACTTATTCTCATTTTCCCGAAGATTTCTTAAGGGCTTTCTCGATTCTCTACGTTCTTGGCCCATTAGTGCCCATTGCACTTTGCATATCGGAATCCCTCTGTTCTGTGTTCAACAATAAGCATTTATATTGAAATCAGTTGCACATTTATTTCCGACGTAAAACCCGGCTATTTCCCCCCTTTCCTGCCGAACTATTCAACTGGCTTTTTCCGCTCTTGTTATCGACGCCAGCGATTCTACCAGAATATTTCCTCGTGCACCTCCCATTCCTTTTTGCATCCACGATTTGAGTTTTTTGCACTTCATTTCCACGCAATCGCTTGCAACTAATTCCCATCAATTCAATGCACACGCAGGCGAAATCTCCGCCTCCTTTCCAACCATTTCTCCCCACTCTGAATTTCCCAGCTCGTTTTTTACGGTCACACATCCTCAATCCTTGTTTGGGAGATTGCATTTTGGGTCACCAGCCCGATTCGATACAAGATGCTGAAAGAAGCGTACCAAACGGGGGGTAATAACACATATTGCTTTCCTGTGTTCGCCCTCCCCTTTCTGTATCCCCATGCCCCCTGAATTTCCCTCGCCTGCGAGGAAAACTTGCTGCTGTCACACTTCCTCCATTTGGCCACCGCCTTTGTGCCTTTAAGAAAATTTCTAACAAGTTTTACAACAATGTCGAAGATGCCTGCAGCGGCGGGCACTAACAGCCCGAACACAACCACATGCAGCACTTAACAACTTGGAATTGCTGCCAAACAGCATTTTCAATGTCAGGGCAGGGGAGATTCGGAACCCAGAGATAGATATTCGCATTAGGCTTTGGCGGGGAAAAATAATGTTACTTACTAATCAAGTCAAGGCTTAGGAGCTGAAGCTGGCCCTGGGATTTTACTCAATGGTCGCCCAGGCAAATCAATGAAGCCAGACCAGAGCCAACCAGCCATGAGTTTCGAGGAGGGGTCTGGATGGGGAATTGGATGGGACCCAGACGGGGTCTTGTATCGTAGCTTCCTGTACGTAAGACCCTCCTCCTTCATCTATTGCCTCGCATGTGGAACAAGCATTTAAGATTGCATCAGCATGTGGTCTTCGGTCAGTTGGGTAAAAAGGGTGTCGGGGATTGGGGACTGTGGATTGGGGAGCAGAGCTGGGAGATCTAGTCTCCCTGGCAGACAATGCACGTATTTGCAATTTCGCATATCATGTTTGCATCTCTCGCTGCTCCTCGCTGCTCCTTCATCGTCATACCTGTAGTCATTCCCATCCCATCCCATCCCATCCCATCCCATACCACCACCATCATCATCATCATCATCCTCCGTGTAGCAGCATCTGCATCTGCTCATCAACGTTGAGGTGGCAAAGCTACAAGTTGGACCCCGATCCTTGGCAGCAAGTCTCGGCAGATTCACTACCAGCTTCGGAGGCATCAGCGGCTGCCCCATGGCGTCAAAATTGTGCGCAAGCCTACAAACGTTTACCAACACTCCTAAAGAAAAGGGCGAGCTATTGATTTTCAGGCACAGTGAAGTCAATATCGAACAAAATAAATCTGAAACCTAGTATTGGGTAGAAAACGAGATATTACGACATGTTTTCAAGCAGGTTATCAATTTCAATGACCGAAAACCAGGAATATTTAATCACTAACCGTTATCTTTCTCGTATATCTCTTGAATATGCAAATTTGTCTTTATACAAAATGTATATTGCATGGAATGTGAGTCAGTTTCATTGTTCATTTCTCTGATAGGTTTATAAGATAAGAATATTATATTGAATTATCTGTAGCAAAATGAAGCAATCATAATAATTATAAATTTTCTTTAAAATTGCCGATCTTTATTTTCTGTCCCGCATTAAATTGGTGGTACTACATTTAAAGAAAATATATATTATTGAATTATCTGTACTAAAATGAAACAATCAAATGAAATAAAAAGTTCCCTATAAAATATCTTTGTATCATTTAAGCCTTGCTAAGATTTGTTCAAGAATCATTTCGTTAACTTAATAAATAAATATAAAGTTTTATAATAATAGGAAATAAGTTGGTTGCAGATCCGAATGGTAATGGCTTCTATTCAAAACTAGTTTCAACACTGATGTTTTGCATTTTATCAAACGATCCCAACACTTATCTTAATCTTGAAAAGACCCTCTTGAAAGCAGCCCATTAACTATGGTTTATGGGTCTGGCACAAGATTGCTCTCGACCTCTTTTCACAAAAGTCTAGAGCATTTTTACAACTTTGCATGTGGATCACCTAACAATAGGGTTATGGTCTGGAAATAGATCACTCACGTGATGGGGGCCATAACTTTAAACCACTCTCAATGGGGTGCTATTGTGACCACTGTGGCGTACTCCTCCATCTGGATTCCTGGCAGTCCCTTAGAGTTTCTCGATTCGGTGTTCGTAGCTGGTAATTAGTGTTGTTGTACTTATTGGCTTTGGCCTTGGGGCGCGTTACCACCACCGAAATGGCTGAAATGGGAAGAGGTTTTGCGAGTGGCTGCAACACGACGTTTATCGCGCGCTCGCATCGGGTTCTTAAGGCAACTAGCCCCCCTCCCCCTCAAATCCCCCCTACTACTATACTAAAAGGCAGCAAGGAAACCTGCCTTCTGGCCATGTTATCTTGATCGTTGGCCCGTTTTCCCTGGCCACCTTTTACCTCCCGATCGCCTTGACTCTTTTCTCTTTGTTTTTTTTTTTTTTAATTCTGCTCTTCATATATGCATAATTCTTGTTTTTACAATTTAGCAGCGATAATGATTTTCTATATACATTGGCAATGCGGTCACGCCCCCGTTGGGCCAGATTGATTTGCCTGGCTTGTGTGCTTTTAATCAATGCTAATCCCTTAGCTTGATTTGCTCCTCATGTTCCGTTGCATGTATATTGCTGTTTATGGCCCACACACACTTACACACACACACACACATGAAATCAATTATTGTATACGTATATAGATCCATTTCAGCATTATGCGAAATAACGGTACTATGGCATATTATGTTACTTTTATGCGGCAAACATGATGATGAAACGCAGGCACGCAGGCCAAACATTCGATATGTTAGATCTACTCCCCTTTCCTTTGCACACACACACACACACACACGAGCGCATTTGTCATGTGGCCACGCCCCCTTCCGCCTTTAGTATATGCTGCATGGCACCCCCCAATCCACCTGCTGTCGCTGTCTATAACAAAACATTTATAGCTTCCTGTCACGCTCAGGCGTGTCCCTCGAGCTCAGTTCGCTGCGATTGTCTCCTTTTGTCTTTTCCGCCAAAGCTCCCCTTCCCCCCTCGCCCCTCACAAATTCCAAAACCTCACCATACATAGACGACCCCCTTTTTGGCAGATGCCAGGACATGAGCACTTGGAAATATAACGCATACGCCCCGCTGAGCATTGGAGCTTAGAAGAAAAAAATACTTGTCAACTTCGATTTGCCAAATGCTCTCAAAAGTTGAAGGTGAACTGATATATATTATAAAAGTCGGAAAGAAAAAGTTGACAATTGAATGATCAATTATCACTTATCTAGATTGAGATAGGTATGCAAACATAAAATTTGGAAAAAGTTTCTTTTCAATAGATGCTCTTTTACACAATGGGTTTACATTTAGTGTACTCAATAAATTGTCATCATTGATTTATGAAATCATAAATATTTATTGAGAAAAGTGAAAATAAAAGAATAATAATAGTATCAAATAGTATAATAATAATATTTATAATACCAGCAAACACATACCACTCCGTTAGTTGTCTTTTGTGATTTATTAAATGCAAACAAATAACTTAATCAAAAGAAGATTTATTTAAAAAAAATCCCTTTTATATTAATTATAGTGTTACCTTTCTTGACAAACTGCAATTAAATTCTATCTTAATCACATATATATAGGTTGAATTTTATAGGTATTTAAAGAATGTATAGCCATATCCAACTTTGTTGGACTCACCTTTGGCGAAAAGGGCGTGACCATAATTGGGTTAATTCGACTGGAGCTCAGTCAGACAAAAAGGGACAGCAATTGGAGGGAAAAAGATCGCCTGTGTTTCCAGCACTCTTGGGCGGAATCATTAATATCGAAAGAGGCCATAAATATGCTACAGAGAATCAATAAAAGACATAAAATCCAGTAACAGTCCCTCCACTGCGCCTTGGGACAATATTTTGTATTGTTTTTTATTATGATGATGCGTGTGCGAGCCCAGCATGCAAAAAAGTTCATTACGATGGGGTGTGGATTTGGATTTAGGATTTGGGGTTGGGATAAGAAGTACCCATCCGGAACTAAGGATGCAAGCCCACGTCCTTGGCGCGCGCGTGAATGTACCGCAATGATGTTGTAACTACGGCAACCGGCGGTAAATCATAAAATTTATGAGTTAAGGGAGCCCCTGGCCCCTCTTCCCCCTCCACCCAACTCTTTTAAGCCGCCGCCTCTGGGCAATTTAATGGTTTTTCTCTTATTTTCCATTTTTTTTTGCGAGCGAATTTATTGTCGACTGATTGGCCTCTTGGTTAGGCTGCTAGCATAATGCGGTTGGAATCCTCGCTGGATCCCCGCCCCCTGCACTCATCCCACTTATTTGCCAGCCTTTTATGGCTTTTTATTTTGCCAGCTAGCTTTTTTATGCTTATTGAAATTGAAATGATTGTGGTAATTGAAATGTTTTTGCATGGTTGAAAGTTGGCCACTGGGAATGTCTAGAATATGTCTGCGGGTACAGGAATATGCTTCTCAATTTGGATGGGCATCGAATCGGGTAGAAGATGTTAGCTTCAATAAAAATGAGAGAGAAGAAAACCAGTTAATACGGCCATTTGGTGGACAAGCACTCAGTTAAGTTTTTATGGGCTTTTAATTGAACCGGTTCAGCCTGTGAGTTGTATTCTAAAACTTAGAAAAGAGCTGAGAATAAATAAAAAAAAAATAAATTTTAATTTTTTTTAAGGCTATAAAACCATTTGTCTCCATAGAAATTAAAATCAAAGATCTGTTTGCAATTCGGTTAAATAAATTCAAAAGTTTTTATTCTTCTGAATTTTCACATAAGACTTTATTTCACCGTCTTTACATTTCTGTTGGCTGGCCCTTAAATTCCCGAATGCAAAGTTGCACACAACTTTTTAAGGTGTTTTTGTTTTATTTTGTTTAAGGTGTCTTTGCCGAGATTATAAGGCTTTAATCATTTAATACTTTAAATGCAAAAACGCTAACCAATCTTAATATTTTTATTCTTTGAGCCCAATTAATCCATTTGAAATTAGAAAACAGTGATTTTATGATAAGAAAATATTTTTAATTAAATTTGTAATCCCCTTGAGCAGCGAGCCTGTGTATGTCTTGTGTGAAATTTCCATTAATGTGGTTCCATTTTGCAAAGGACAACGAACACGTACACAGATACGTATACAGAACTCAGACAGGCATTCGGGCGATGCCCAATAAGTGTCACTTGTGGCTGACAAATCGCATAAAAAGCAGGAGGCAGGATCAGGAGCACGAGGACGTGGAAGTGGAAGTGGAAGTGGAGCAGTGTATGCGTAGGAAAAGCTGGAGTAGAGTGGTAGCAGCTGAGAACAGGGAATTCATATTTCCATGCAAATGCAAATAACAAAATAATAAAATGCACAGCAAGGAGAAAAACACTGATAGCCAAAGACACAATTGAGGGGGGGGTTTGAAATGGGTTGGGGAAAAAGAATAAGGAGCAGTATGGTGCTTCCTCACACTCACACATGTGAGGAAATTTGCAAGGCAAACGATTTTTCATGACCCCGGAACGCAGAGCACCCTCTGATGATGGCAACTTTTCATGTGCAATGCACCAGGAACTGAGTGTTTCTCCTTGTATTTTGTCGTAAATTTCACGCATAACAAAGCTTTATCTTCATCCGGCTAGGTGCTCAACCTGCCTTTGACTCACAATTTGGTTGAAAATATAAAGTAATGTCGACATTTACTTAACATTTTTCTTCTCTTACATTTTGCAGACACAAAAAAGGTGATAGACGCCCCGAGTGACTTTGAGGAGAATCCTGGCGAGTTAGGCAAGCCGGTGCATCTGCCCAAGGAAATGTCCGACGAGATGAAGAAGGCCGTTGACGATGGCTGGACCAAAAACGCCTTCAATCAGTACGTATCTGACCTAATATCAGTGCATCGAACGCTGCCCGATCCTCGAGATGCCTGGTGCAAGGATGAGGCTCATTATTTGACCAATCTGCCCAAGACCGATGTCATCATCTGCTTCCACAATGAGGCTTGGACTGTGCTGCTGAGAACAGTTCACTCGGTTTTGGACAGGTCGCCAGAACATCTGCTTGGCAAAATTATCCTGGTAGATGACTACAGCGATATGCGTAAGTTTTCACTGATTTTATATTACATAACTACATATTACTGTGTGTATACGATGGGCATTTCATGCAATCATTTCATGAAATTTATGTATTCAAAAGTTCACGAAATTCATAGCATATAAATAATAATTTACACATATTCCCATTTCTTTAGCTCACTTGAAGCGGCAGCTGGAGGACTACTTTGCCGCCTATCCTAAAGTTCAGATCATCAGAGGCCAAAAACGGGAGGGTCTGATTAGGGCCCGAATTTTGGGTGCTAACCATGCCAAGTCCGCTGTTCTCACCTATTTGGATTCCCATTGCGAGTGCACAGAAGGTGAGTTGGCATATAATTGAATTAAAAATTCAGACAGCCTAAAAGTATACAGCCAATTTTGCAACCTCTCTCTGTGGCATTTCCATTCCAATTTGCAATATTGCCAATATGCTAATAGCCCAAATTAAGCTTTTAATTGACTAACCAACTTCGTTAGTCAGTTTTGGCTTATAAAGAATTCAGTCTAAATAAATATTTGAAATATATACAGCCCAAAATAAAAGTTAAACATTCAAACGGCAAATTTTAAAGCTTCCATTTCTTTTTTGTTTATCTGAGATTTGCACATTTCCCAATGGACTCTAGTCGTATCTTGTTTATTGTCGAGAGTAATGTTCTCTGGAATACTCAATTTTGATGGCCATCAAACAAAATCCGCTGGGACTAATACCATGCCAATAAAACAAGAGCCAAGCTCTAGAAAAATCACTTAATCTTCCGCATTAGGCCGACTCCGTTTCTGTTTCTGCCTCTTATTTTCTGCTTTTATTAAGCTGGTGAAGAGCGATAACTAAACCAAACCGAAAAAGGCAATGGATTTTGTTTATTGGGAAACTTGGGCAACTGATTGTCAAGAAGTAAACAAAATGAACACAAAGGGAAATCATGTTTCCCTGCCATTGATGGAAATCAGGAAAAGCAATTAAGCCTGGCTGTAAATGAATATTTTTGACATATTAGTTTGAGCCTTTCTGATGGCTGGCTAAATAAATATTCTGGATATTTTACGATATTAATGTTTACCCTTTTGCAGGATGGCTGGAACCGCTTCTGGATCGCATTGCCCGTAATTCCACCACTGTTGTTTGTCCAGTTATTGATGTCATTAGCGATGAGACTCTGGAGTACCACTATCGTGATTCTACTGGCGTTAATGTTGGAGGATTTGATTGGAATCTGCAGTTCAGCTGGCACCCAGTTCCTGAAAGAGAAAGGAAGCGCCATAATGTAAGTCATATCGAAGCTATTTTCAACTTTCACACTTTTTTGTATTTAAAACAATTGCAATTTTAATCAAAGTTTATCATACGATAGCTTTCCTTTCTGTGCGTTAAATATGGCTCGTTAAAAGAGCGGTTTTTGTGTGGTTGACTTCAACATACATGACCATTTATACCATTCTGTGTTTGCTTTAAGTTATGTTTGTTTTACGCGATGGTTACCACGGTTACCTACGCCCATCCTCCAACTTTGGTTTCTAACCCCATTTGGGGAGTTTTTTCCCCGTTGGAATGCCAAAAACATGAAGCCGCTTAAGCGCTCGAACGTGACTACAAAAACTGAATGTTTGCCGTGAAAAGGGAATGCGGCTGTCAATACAAACACACAAGCACACATCCACGTGCCAAACGAAAAAAGGGAAACGGAAGCAAACCGTCATCCTCACGTACAGGCCACAAAAGTGTCGTTTGCAATATGCGCTATTAGAACTAAGAGTCGTTTCCTTTGCTCAGATGAGTTTGCAAATTTATGCTCAAGTTGGTCCGCCGTTAAAGTTAAAGTTACTGCCTTGGTTAGTTATATGCCAGGATAGTGGCGAAGAGCCGTAAAAAATTTCAGAATTTTTAAAGGGCTATAAAATTTATAGCCGTAAAAAATAGGATTCTTAAGGTTTGCAGGGTAGCTGTAATTTTCCTTTCATTATGGGGACTTTAGAGTTTATACAGAAGTTTAACTACAGTAAAATAAAGATGAATATATCATTCGGGTTTTAAACTAATGAATTTATAGCATTTTGATTATAAGCTTTCTTTTTTGACCGAAAAAATTGTTATTTTTATTGATTACTTGCAGTTTAATACATATATATGGTATATCTTAGTTTTTAGCAGCGGTTGACATCTTATAATTGATTTATTTTAGATAATTTCCTTACAAACTTTAAGTTTTCCCTTAGCTTCTTAAAATCGCAGAGATGTTTTGTTATTTTACGACCGCCTGTGCTCAACACGTACAAACATTCCCCACACACAGACAAGCAATTAGATACTCCCGCGCACATACACACTTAGCAGTGGGGGCAAAAGAGCTCCACAAATGGACATTCGAAACTGTCGATGGGCTTTCAGACTCGCCGACAGCTGCTGCCGCCCGTGTAAACGGGAAAAAGTCTACCTTGGCTGAGCCATTTTCCACTTTTCACCAGGTATGCTTCATACCTTCTGGCGGAAAAGCAATCAAGGATTCCTGGTGGCTATCCATTTCATTCCATTTTTATTATTTGTTTAACGTTTTAATTAAAAGTTCATAATTACACTGTTCACTCTTTGGATCGTGTGTAAATTGCCTTAATGCCTGCACATATAGGCAATATATTACGCATACGCCGCCTGTGGCAAGGCCACAAATTGAAAATGGCTGAGGCGAAGGAGCGGAACAGAAAAGCGCTTCATGACACTGCAATTAAAAGCCAAAAATGTTAACGGAAAATTTTCGTAGTCTGTTTCGGTGGCTGCTTATGCTGTTTCTGTTGCAGTTGCTGTTGCTTTTGGCAGAACGCTCTTTTGCGGCGTAAATATCTGGCATAATTGTTTTTACAAGCGCCATGGGGATTTATGGCAGGATTGTTGCCGAAAAATCCTTTCGCAGGCCGGAATTGTTGCTGCTTCCTGGCAACTGGTAACATGCGGCGTGGCAAACTGTGTCTCTGTCTCCGTCCCCGCCTCAAGTTGCACTTAGCAGCTAAATCAAGTAAAGCATTTCCCGTCTGCAACAACATTGGCAATTTGCCGAGCAGCGACTTGCGGAAGGCAACTGCTGGTGGAAACCATAAATGTTGCCTGCTGCCTGCTGCCTGCTTTCTGCCATGTGTGCGTTTTGTGGAGGGAGGAGATAATGGCCCACGTTCTGCCCTGTAAATGACAGCGAAAAGTTTTTGCTGGAAAATTGAAAGAAGAACTGGCTGCTTGTTAAAGCTGTATCTTTTCTCAACCGATTGCTAATTTCAAATATCTGTTTGAGTTATGCCATGTGCCACCTGGCTGAAACAAAGCTCAACGGATTGGGATGTAAACTCATACACTCCTACCGCCCATCAGGGATTTTCAGCTGCGGAGCACAGCTGTTGACAGTCCCAAAGCTGCCTGAACGAAAATCCTCCCAGCAACTTCTGATGTCTGTCCAAAGTTGCTTAACTTGTTACGAGTTGGCAGCAGTAGAAGTAAAAGCAACAGCAACAATAATAACACTAGCATGGGGAATCAAAAATACATATTCGTTATGGGCAATGCCATTTCCCCTGCACTCAAAGTTGCTACTTCAGCTTTTGTTTGTATTTCCTTGGCGGATCCTTCTGCTGCTGCTTGTGCTGCTCCAAGGTAAAAGTTGGCTCTGTATATATTTTTATATTTTCCAAAGTGAAATCCCCAAATTGAAACTGCAAAAGAGCTGGGGACATGGCTAATGGCTTTACTTGCCTTCAGCAAATCAATCAAATACAATTTTGAAAAGAAAAATCCTCCAAATCTTAGGCAGTTAATCATTTCAAACAACTTAATTCAAGCTGTGAGTCCTTGTCGGAAAATTGCTTAAGACTTATTTTACTTGTTCTATGATTATAAAAGCTTCTCTTTTGATTACATCACAACATTCCCCACAAAACATAACGTTTTTTCCTATATTTGTATCCCTTATTTGCCTGGGCAAAGCAATATGAATATTTTAACATTTTGGGAACCACAGCAAATAACATGAAAACTAATTCGCTTCGTTGGTGAAACACCGCAGGCTGTTAAATATATATATACGAGTGCGGCAAAGCAGTGAAAACTAATACCCGTAACGAGAAAAAAATCTGGAATAAAACTACGGGTGCAAACAAATTCACATGGAGCTAAAGCAGATCCGAGTACGTACCCATTTGGCTGCTGTGTGTAGGGCGTTGAAACACTAATCCAATTATTTGAGTATAAAGAGTAGCAGCAGCTAGGGCAAAAACTTTTTTGATAGCGTTGCCAGGGCGTATGCGCAATATGCGTGCTTCGGCAGCCAAAGGCAAACGCAGACGGTGAACTCATACGCAATGTTGGCCAAAGCGTTTAACTATACATAGGGAAGCCAAATATACATAAAGAAGAGTGTGCCTGAAGTGCCAAATCCTCACAGCACGCGCTCTCCATTCCTCCCTTGTAGCTGAGCCAACATACAGAAGAACTTCTGTAATATGAACATGAGTAAATTGTTCCCTAACTAGAATTCGATTTATTCAATTTTGATTGTCATTAGCCACTATATTGTCATAAAGACATTTTCCAGCTAAAAGTTAATGCAGAATTTAACCAATCAGTGTGGTTATATGTTTTTATGGCTTTTGAACTACCGCTAAAGCGTTCTTCCCTTTTGCAAAGTATCTTATGAGAAAGTCGTGTTTACAGGAGCTCTTCTGTAAATAGAAAATTGTGGGCAAAGTTTACCTTTAAAAATTGTTTAGGCTGTCGTCATGGCTCGTCGGCTCTCATTCCAACCAGCCACATATATATGCAAGTGTAATGGGGCCTGTGCGGAAAGGTAAATGTTTTCTAATACCCCAAGAGATGGCAAATTGGATGGGGATTGGGAGGACTGAAGATAGAGCTGCTCTCATCTCGGCTATTGCACGTTTCATTTCATTTCTTTTTGACTCGGATTGTTGTTACCGCCAGAGCCTTTTTCTGCCTTTGTCTAGCTCTTGTTGTGGATGTGAAATCGTGCATATCACAGTGCTACTAAACAGCTACCGAGTGCGAGTGTGTATCGCAACGCGCTGCGTATGCGAAATGTTCGACGTTTTCGTTCCAATGACAAATGTTGAGCAGTCAATTCAGAGCTTTCGTTGCCAGCTTTTCGGGTACTCGATGGTTTTTTGGTTGCTTGATGATGGAGCCGATTTGGTATTTTCTGTCAAAGTCAATTGGATTTCGGCTATTCATCAGAGCATAAAAAGTCTGGGGGGCGCACAAGTCACATCTAATGGCTATATATTCCCTTGGGTTTTTGCGATTGTGTTATTTATGAACAGCGACTCGGTACATTTATTTCGTGCCTATATAAATCGATGTGTATGGAGGCTACAATAAAAAGTAAAAGAAGCAAATTAAGTGTACAGAAATTTATAGCGGATAAAATGAACAAATGTTTAAGTAACTGGTTTGTATGCGAACAAATGCTTTTAAAAAGAATTATGTTTCGAATTCTTCCTGCGACTTTTGTGTTAGCGTACTGTAACACATAATTAACGGCAATTACCTCAAATATTGTATATATTTTTTCGAGACGATAATTCTTGCCACCCTTAATAAACATTAACTGAAGCAACTATTTGATACATGTTCTACGGTTCTTTATGACATTACAAAAGTTAATGGGACAAATATATCTTGATAAAGCACTTCATTCACATGGTCATTTATACATTAATCAAAAGGACACCCATTTTAGTTGGTCAGGCGATACTTGACCGCCCTGAGGATGGGGTACTTCTCGTTGGTGCAAAGTCCTCGGAAATCGTCAAAGGACAAGTCGAATAGGGCCACTCCACCCAGGTTTTCGGTGCGCACATAGCCAGCCTTCTCGGCGGCGGTGTCGGGATCCTCGAAGCTCACCCAGATGCCATTGTCGCCCTTTTTGTCGGCTGCCCTGTAGGCATACGACCCGAATCTCTTGGCTGGATCCTGAACCTTGGTCAGAGGGGCATTGGCACCCTTGGCATAGGCGTTGTTCTGGTTGGGCAGCAGGGCACACACCTCTGGCCAGCTGTAAATACCCGGCAACATGGTGTTGCCACCCTCTGGAGCCTCGTCCTTGACATCCTTAACGGGGGGAACACCCGTATCGCCGGAGTCATCCGTCAACTTCCAGGGACGACCGTAGGTGGCCACGCCCACATTGATCTTGCTGCCGGGACAGTTGTTTCGCAGCCAGTACTTCACCTGGGCGGCCACGTTGAACTCGGGATTGCGATCGCTCAGCTCATAAATGGGTGCGATATAGTCGGCCACCTCGGGATTGCGCTGGGGTGTGGAGAAATCGAAGGCTCCCAGGTTCACAAAGTCCAGATAGTTGATCACGGCAGGAATGTCGTAGAACACTGGGGGAAAATTATAAGATTACAAATCAAAGTCGCAAGAGTTCTGAAATCTACACTGAATACAAAATTGTAAATTTCATATACAATGCTTATTAAACTGCATGATTTAATTAATTAATGTGGAAAATGTACGATTTAAAAGCATTTTATCTGATTTGAAAACATCATGGTTTTGTTTAAATTAAGTTTTTGAGATCTTAAAATACGAACTACGTTTCAAAAAGCAAAGGGAAAAAGTATACAAATTTAGTATGAAATAATTAGATATACTACTTTTTGTTAATAGTGTGAAATGGTAACACTTACAAGATGAGTTCACATTGGGCAGAACGGTGGTGGAGAGCAGCAGGTTGTCCGGGCGGAAGGCGTTCTTGACATCACGCAGCAGGGCGGTGAACTGCTCCTTGTGCTCCTCGGACTTCTCGTCAACGATCGAATCGCCGGAGAAGACCTTCTTGAAGCCCTTCCAAAGGCTGCCAATGCCGCTGTGCACCTTCTTCGGCTTGTTCTTGGGGAACTGCCAGGCCACGTCGAGGCCATCGAAGCCGTAGGTCTTCACCAGCGAGTAGACGGTGTTCACGAAGCGATTGCGACCTGTGGCGCTCTCGAGCAGCTCCAGATACTTGTTGGGCAGCTCCTTGCCATCCTTGTCCAGTTCAATGTCCTTGTCGCCGCCCACGCTCAGTAGGAACTTCACATTGGGGTACTTGCGCTTCAAGCGGGTCACAGTGCGGTACAGACCCTTGCCCAAGTCGAGGTCCAACTGCTGGTTGAGACTCACCGCCTTGTTGGAATCACGCTCGATCCCGGCATATCCATAGATCAGATAGTCGCAGAACTGCAGAGCCGGCTCCAGTTCATCGATCACCAGTTTGCCCAGACCTAGATTAAACAGGGGATTCTGCGATTAGAGGAAGGTTTTACGCACCGGAAAAAACACAGACTTGGTCAGATAGTGTGATTGTTCAAATCAGTCATTTCCGGAATGAAATAATTTACTTTTTACGGCTCCAACTAAATATATTTAAAGGTTTTTAGCTACGAATACAAATAATGAATTTAATTTTTCAATGGTTTCGATACTTAAATACATTTAAAAGTATTCAGCTACGAGTAGAAATAATTAATTTCTTCTATTTAATGAATGACTTTTTCCAAGGTCTTGTTGTTTAAATACAATAAAATGTATTAAAAATCATAAAAATTATTATCAATTTTTTTTTGCTGTGCGCTATATAATCGCACTAACATTTGACATGAATAGCAAATAAACTACCTTAGCCAAGTTCCAAGTATTTGTTGATAAGCTTAGTCCGTTTGTTTTCGATTTCGTTTTCATCTTTTCTAATTAGCAACTTCCAAGCGGAGGTTACATAACATTGAACAGTGCAAAAGCCCCCCACTTAATAGGAAATATTGCCTGGTACACATACCTTCCTTGACGAAACTGGCGGAATCGTAGTAGCAGACCAGGTGCTTCTTCGGCACCTGAGACTGAGGGGGTCCCACCTTCGAGGCCTGAATGCTGACCAGGCATAGCGATACGATCGCTAGGGTTTTAATGATCATCTTTGAGTTGATTTCACTTGATTCCGCTGAGTTGTGCGCCGCTCGATTGCCGACTTGGAACTGAAACTTGGGCTTGACTTGGCATCCCAGCTTGTCGAAGGTTGAGACGTGGTCGTCGTCGTCATTGTTGTTCTTATTTTCACTGTTGTGGGTTGAGAGCAAAGTGTGAGCTGATAAACACAGCTAAGCTTGGAGGCGATCATTAGAAATATATACAGTGGAGCTTCGATGAGGTGGAGGGAGGTAGAAAATAGATTACACGTTGCGCTGACATTCATTTTAAGTCGATATCTACTGCCCTTGTGTTTGTTCCTTTAAAATAAATATTTTGTTTATGTCATTGTGCTGTTTATCACTACATGAATTTAAGAAAATCTAAAACTCAAATTTCAATTACTTGAACAACATTACCTAAAAGCCCTTTTAAATTTACTTCTTAATAACTGCACTTTCATTAGCCTAAACTGGTTTCAACTACTTTGTAAATCATAAGTAATCTGGTTCATGTGTATAAAATGTCAAAGTTTGTTCCTACTGTATTAATTCCAGTACATTTGTGTGGGACGCACACAAATATATTTAAATTTTTACGACTTGGATGTCGACAAATTTTAATTTTGCTGTTTTTTCCTCTGCTTTTTTATAGTTTGTTTGTTTTTTTTTTCTTGTTTGCTGATGTTCGAGATTTTTTTGTTTTTCGGCATCACCATGTTTAAGCTTTTTTGGTTACTGCTGCTGCGCTGTTATCAATTCCCGACCCCGATTTGCGTTTTTTTTTTGGCTGGGGCACCCTAAGACCGAGTTTCTTGTTTCCATTCTTTCCTTTGTTTCGTTCTCTTCCTTTCTTGTTGATTTTGGCATAATTCTTGTGTTTGCTTGCCCTAATCGCTGTTCAATCCACTTGCTTCCTTTTTTTCTCTGTCTCTTTCGGTCACACATGCTGATTTTCAGATTTTACAGACAGAACAAATAGTACATGTTTAGGAAAAAGAAGTTTATTTTAATTTAGAATATAATATTTATAAAAAAACAAATCAAATAAAAAATTTTAAAATAAATGTAAGTTTGTATTTTTAAAAAAATTATTATTTATCCTACATATTTCTTCGTTAATAATACTTATAATTAAACAGTAAACTTTTGGAAATTCGATCAAGTAATAATATTTACAAATATTAAAAAAACCGCTTGGTGAATACTGGAATTTTGAACTAAAATAATTTGTTCTTCTGAATTTTTGTCTGTGCTTGGGCTGCTCCATCGTCCTTAATAATTCATGTGTTTGGAGTGGGTTTGTGTGAGTAGAAGTATGCTCCATCAATTCCATTTGTTTAGTCCGAGTTCCTTTTCTTTCCTTTTCCTTGAATTTACACTGCAGTCTTTTTATCCGTCTATATCTAAGTTGAGGAATTGTTTTCGGTAACTCAATTGCTTGCTCTTGTTAGCTCTCCGAATTAGAAATTTCCAATTTCAGTTGATTTGAAAATGAGGAGAAGTCTGTGTGTTCGCCGTTGCTTGGTACTCAATTATTTCTTGTGCAATTTCAATTTTTTACATTATCAATTAACAGACTTGCTTTCATCTTTTTTTCGGGCTATTGTGGGTGTTAATTCACAGAAAGTGAGAGAAAAAATCGGGGTTAAGCCTTGGCTACGAAAAACCAATCACATGCACGAGCGGTTTCTCGACCGAAGGAAGTAACTAAAAACCCGTTGCCAGGGTAAAAAGTTTTTTTTTTAGGTCGCAGGGATTTTCGCATTTTTTTCTTCTAATTTTCAGCAAAGCTTTTACTTTTTCTCTTTAAGCATTTTGGTTAATTAATTTTCGCCATGCGCTTTTCGCTCAGTCAGCGCCAGCGGAATATTACTTACACATTTTCCTTGTAGTCCGCATAATTACGTGCACGTTTAACTTTTAATTGAAATGTTGTAACAAGAGTTCATGGTTGAGATGGAAGGTGGGAAAAACGAGGAAAATATGGGAAAAACGGGGCAAAATGTGGGGTTCTAGGTCCGTGGCCTGCGGGCTTGTCATGGCAATTCATAAAACTGCTGCTCGCTTGCTCTTTTCTGCCCTTTTCGCTCTGTCTATATTTCAGTTTATTATATCGAGCTAAAAGCTGGCTTTCTTTAATTAAAAGCGTAGCCAGCAGACACATTCCACTCCACTCACACGTTCACGTTTATATCAGATATTTATGAGCGACCCCGAAGTATGCTACACTTTAGTGGTTTTGAGCGAAAACGTCTGGGTAGAGGGCCAGCAGAATGTTGCCAGTTTTTCGGCTGCCACTAATATTATTCCAAAATTATTATGAAAATAACCAGCAATTGAAGCCAGCTTTAACGAGCCAGCAGAGGAAAAGAAATGGAAGATTATGCGTCTACAATAGAACTTCCTTATACTGGAGAAAACAAATATAAATGTTTCTAACTTTTAAGTTAGTGCATACAAAGAATGTGAAGTTATTTGTTAGATTACTTAAAGCTTCGTTTAGTTTTTGTGGTTCTAAAATTGTTTGCTTAAATATATTTTATACTGAATTGAATTTTTAACATTCATTATTAATTATGCTAGAAGTGTTTTAAGTTAACATTTTTAAAGTGTTGGGTTGGATTCACTTTTAATTTATAAACTGATTTCAAATCATTGAATGGCATTTTGAATGATTTTATAATTTGTATTTTTGTTGGAAACATATAAAGAGCACCCCTTCTCAACATCATACCCGCAAAATTTAAAATAGTATTGATTGCAATGCTTGATCTCTAGAGAGTTTGAATTATAGAGTTTCGACTGTATCGCCTCTTGCCTCCCTGACTTTTCCTTTCCCCCATAACTTTGCATATTAAGCCATGTTCAGAGGGCAAAAACCAGCACACAGCAGTAAACAGAGAAAACTTTGTTGGGTGCTCGTTTGTTTTTGTTCGCCAGCACACAGTCCCCTTAACCCATGATAGCCGGAAAACCGCAGCAACTGCAACTGCAACACCAGGAGCAGCAACAAGATCGCCCAGCAATTTTCCCTCGTGGCTGGCAAGTGTATTAATTTGCACCCAATGGCGGGGCACAACAGCAACATTTTTTTGGGAAGGGGGTATGGAAATCCCCTTAAGCCCGAAACTAACGACCCTCTCGGTGGGCGTTGGGGGCGTGGTCGAAGTGATTTGTGGCCCCAGAAGACAGATGGAGACCAGGGCTGGCCGACCGATGAGATGCAGATTGAAGTTTTTATGGAAAGCGAAGCCATTTACGGCTCAGTTCATTTGGGGAAACTAATTGGGCCAAAGTGCATTTGTGGCCTGCAATTTTCCATCCCTGGCACTTGCAGCATATGCAAATCACTCACTCAGGCGCACCCGAAATACACACTTTCATATACGTACATACTATAAATGGAAAGGAGAAGGAGAAGGGAAATATATCCTGTGCATGAAAGTCAGCTTACGTGGCGCATGATTTATTAAAAAACGCTCATAAAAATGCACAGCACACTCAACGGGCACACAAAAAAAAACAGGAAAAAAGGGCGGAAAAAAGAAAACAACACATCAAAGGCAGAGCAGCAACAGTATGATAGCACCCACTGTGCTACTGCTACTGCTGCTGCTGCAGCAAAAATGCATGAAAAATAACTATGGAAATAAGCTGAGGCAGCTGTAGACGCAGTGCTACTAACAACAGAAGCACTAAAAATAGATATGAAATTTTTAAAGCGTTCACAGCAACTCTTAACCCATGGCAGGCCCAGCCCAACTGGCCACGCCCCCCTCCTCCCAAGGCAAACACTTAGTCGCGCATGATGAGAGTTGTGGGCGGACGGGACACACACTGGGGGTGTACTATATGTATATGGGGGGCGGGGACGATCGGCTGTGGGCCAAAATATCCAGACCATCCATCAACTGTCAGAGTCGGGTTCATTTTTAAGCAATTTTCGCAAACGATGCGAGGGGCAAATTTTATGCCTCTAACATAGATGCATGCAATAAAAATGAAGAGCGAACAAAACTATGACATCTAAACTAGTACGAAAAATTGCATGAATAAGAAAACATTCAAAAAATGTAGACATGAAATGGTGCTTTTAAAAATAGTTATTGTTGAAACTATTTGCTAAAGAAAGAATTTCTGGCCCTATACTTATATGTGCCAATACCATTTAAAACTAACTTTTGACTTAACTTTTTAAAACAAATCGTTAAACTATTTATTGCTTTAATTTTTATTTTTGCATTTTATATAATCTTAATTATCTTAAATCTTTAAAATTTTATTAAAAAGATTATATAGTGCAATGTAGTCAGAATTTTTAGTTTAGATTTAGAAAGTAGGAACCAAAACTAGCAAAACCCTCTTAAAAAAACGTTTTCGAAAGTTGTAGACATTTTTATTAGGCGCAGATTTTTCGAATCCGTTTGTTTTAAATTTTTTTTCTACTAGTCTGTACCCATTATAATGTTTAAGACCAGAATTAAAAATTCCTTGTGGCTCACGAGACTATTGGACTTTATTAGGCAATATTTTATAAGTTTGGGTTGGAATATATTTTATACCTAATTTAAAATCAATAGCAGTATCGCATGTTTTCCTACTAATATAGTCCCAAATTGAGACAAATTTACAAATCTTATCTTCCAACATATGTGTCTGAAAATAACTATTTTCTCAATGTGCAAGCGCATAGAATTTAGTGGCAGCTTTTCTAAGCCACAGCTCCTCGTCATTATCGTGGGTGCCGTTCTGCATTCTCTTCATGGCGGTCAGGCAATCGGGAAATGTTGAAACGGCAGCCATGTTTGGTTTTCATCGCCAGTTCCTGGCAGCGCAATTTCGTATTATTAATTAGCTGCCATTCCGAAATGGGGGGTACGACATGGAACGGAACCACTGTGTCCTCATGTCCGTGGCACATTTGTTCTGGTTAGCGGCGGTGGACTGTGGACTGTGGACTATGGACTGTGGACTATGGACTATGGACTCTGGTATTGGGACCCTCGGCATTGCCGCCAGCAAATTGCCAGTTAACCCAATCCAAACCAGCCCAAACGGAGCGAACCAAAGAGAACA